TTTGTCTTTCGCATGAGTAACCACTCTTGAACCTGTGTTGGCCATCATAGGTCCATTTTTGATTTCCCATTCTTGCTTAATGTAACTCGCAACTAGATGCTCCACAAGTTTGCAGACCACTGACGTAAGACTTCCCGGTCTATTATTACTTTCTTAGGTTCCCACTTTTAAAAATTGGTACGACAAAAGCTAATTTCCAATCTTTAAGTACTTTTGAATTGTTCATGGATACGTGAAATATTCTAATTAAGTACGGTAATATTGCATAAGTTTAATTATATCCTTAGAAATGTCATCTGTATCCCTTGACTTACCATTAGGATAGTATATTATAGATTATACCATAGTAGATTTTACTTTATTCCGTAGAACGTTTACTTTAATATTAAACTGATTTGTAACCGAAGACCCTTAATTAGTGGATGGTTGGACATGCTTTTGGAAATGTTTTTGTTCAAATGTTTTTTCATCAAACCCAACATCGGGATCAAGTCTCTTCACTTGCGGGGGCCCGAGTGATCGCCCGGTCTCCACATGCCTGAATCGCACTGGTTGAATGATGAATAAGAGTTTCGAAAAGGGCGAAATTGACAACTTTGGAAAACTAGACTTTTCTCTCTCGAATTACACAAAAACGTATTAGCATCGGTAAACGAACTGCAGATTTCAATTTTTTTTGTTCTGCTAATAAAATAGTAACACCTCCCGGCTCTACTCCTACCACTATAAGCAAAAGAAGAGCTCAACAAAACGTGCGCATACAGAAGCTACATTTATGTTCAGAAGCAAAACAAGGGGTTATCTCAGCATTTGGTCAATGGATTAGGGAAACTAGCCAAAAATCTGATCAAGATATAGGTCATTGATCCAGAAGCTGCAGTACATTACTTGTTAAAGATAAATTAAGTCTATTTTAAATTTATACAATACAAATGTAAACTAATTTAAACCTAACTACCTTTTTTAAAACTTAACCTCCTTCTTTCATTTTTTCTACTATGCCTTCCCATTCACTACTACCCTTTGTTCTTGCATTATTCACATTGAAAAACATATTTCATTACTAATTCTATTCTAAATTAAATAAAAGTGAATTAACTTTGTCATCTTCTTATAATTGAGATGACATAGTTTATCTCACTACGTACATATTTTGCTTTTTTATTACAATAAATTCCGTTCTCTAGTTATAAAATTTTGCAAAAATTTAAATTTTAAGAAAAATGGGTATTTGGTGTCTTAATTTGCATGAGGGGAAAGTGTAGAATACTATAGTATGATTCATTTGTCATTGCAGTTTAATGCATACATGGTGACTATTTCAAGCACATTTGTTGGAAATGCTTTATAAACGTGCAACGGCTTGATCTGGGATGGAGAAAGAACTGCCGCAATGCCTTTAAATTTTCTGATAACAAATTGTTAAAAGGAGAAAATGGTTGAAAAATATGTATAATGTTTTGTGATCATTATTTTAAAATGTTTAAAAGTGTAATGTTTGTGATTGGTATGATCATGGTCATTGCATTTCATGATACATTCACACCAGACAAGTTATTATCCAATAAAAATCAATAATGTAGAATCAGAGTTGGGCATGTAATACATGTAATTTAAAATATGTATTTTCGATACTTTTGTAATTTGTATTTTGTTTCGAAAGTACACATTTGAACATGCATTTTTTATCTGTATTGAAAATACTTTCTGACAGTATTTTGTATTTTGAAAATACTAAAATACTATTTTTTTAGTAACATTTTTATTTAAATATACAGTCAAACTTGGATAAAACAAACGTTGCTAATACAAATTTTTGACATTCTGAAGCAATTTTTGATTCCCTGCAGCAGAATTTAGAATGTTTTTGATAACTCAAAATTTTGGTGAGGGGAACATGGACGAGACGAGTTGGGTTGAGGGGAACGTGGATGGACAAACGATACCTTGACCCATCGGGAACACTATAAGCCTGTTCATTGTACACTCCGTATAGGAAGTCTGTAGAATTATTTTCAAAGGAAGCATCATTCCCACCAGGGTTGCCACAGGTACCGCATTTAGTAGCAAATAATTTAACATTTCAAGATTTATATAGTTTCATATTTAAAGTAAAAGTAAAATTTACTTGTTATTGTCATTTTACTGCTACCATTTATAATAATAATAATAATAATAATAATAATAATAATGATAATGATAACTATTAAAACAATACATGATATCAATTTTGGTAGCAACTACATAAAATTTAACAATATTAGTACATTCTATGTTTAAAATTTGAAATAGTGAGGAGGAGGAGGAGGCAGGTTTTGACAGGTTTTTTTCTTTCTATTTGTACACCAAGTCTACTGCAGCACCTAATGCATCAAGCAAATCCAGAGAGAAACAGAAATTTTTGTCAGGCATTCTCCTTCTACGTCACAGGAATGCGATATGCCAGTTCTATGTTCTTTGCTTCAGCTCGAAACAGTCAACTTTGAACAGAAAGTCAAATGGGATAAGAAATTATTTATATTTTTTATAAGGGAAATATTGTTGTACTTTGAATATTCCTTCGCACTGTAGAACATGTTGTTAAGCAAGAAAGCTATCAATTTACTTTTAAATGTATGAATTGTGTTTATGTCTTTAATATCATTGCCTAGTTTGTTGGAAAGTGTAATTCAATCTACTACAGTAATTTTTTGATAAAGTGTAGTTTCATAGTGGGGAACATGTAGGTTATCCTTTTGACAAGTATTGTAGTTGTGTATATCGGAATTTAGAGTAAATGTGTCTTTGTTTTCCGTGTAAATCTTCTTTGTGAAGACCACTATTTCATATTTTTTATATATATATATATATATATATATATATATATATATATATATATATATATATATATATATATATATATATATATACACACACACACACACACACACACACACACACACACACACACACACACATACATGCATAGTAGACGAAGAATCCTCAGTTTATTGAACAAAGGTTTGCAAGACTCCAGCTTATGAGTGCTGGTCATTGTTTGCAGTATTTTTTTTTTTTTTTTTAGATAATAAATGTGCGACTGCTTTCAGGGTCATTTACCCAGAATATTATTTCATTTTTAGGTGTGAGTGCACATTTGCAAAAGTACATTGTTCAAAGTGTCTCAGTGTTGGAGCTTGACCTGGGGGTGTATAGGCAAGATTTGGTAAGTTTCTTGTTAAGATTTGACATGTGAGCATTCTATTTTAGGTTTTCTTGAATTGTTAGATCGAGGAAGCTAGTAGGGTTATTATTCATGAGCAAATGCAGTGAGAGTTTTTTTTTAGATCTGGAATTATTGAAATTTAGAGAGACTGTCTTGCTGGTGTTTATGACGTGTTCGTTGTCTTAAAACCATTTTAGTAGTACTTGCAAAGTTTTGTGAGTTTCTTTTTCTAATGATTGTTGTGCTCTGCTTTGATGATTATGTACAGTGTCATCTGCAAACAAAATTATTTTGTTATTCCTTAAAGTGAAAGACATGTCATTTATGTATATAAGGAATAGTATTGGCCCAATGATGGATTGTTGCGAGACTCCACAGTTAATCATTTGAGGGCAGGAGTAGTAAGAGAAGATTTTTTCTTTAGTGTGCTGGAGGGCAACTATTTGGCTACAGTTTGATAAATACGATTTGATCCATTGGCCTACAATGCCTCGAGTCCCTACTAGTTTTCTCAATGTCTAGTTTTCTTAAAAGTAAGTGATGGTCAATAATGTCAAAGGCTTTTGACAAATCAAAAAAAAAAAAAAAGGCCAATGGTCTGTCTATAGTCAATCTAAGAAAAGGGCAAACATGCAGGTGGCCTATTTCAGCTGTTCAGCTGACAAGGTGAACTTTCCTATCTCATTTTGAAGATTTGTCTATCTCTCCCTGACCACCTAATGCCTAGCAATTAATAATTATAAAATATTAATTTTTAAATAGATCACTTAAATATAATGGCGTATTTTGGAGGCTCCTGAACCAGGTCCTGCTGGTCCGAGTGGATGTTACGAAATTAGTAATCTTGCAGATTACTAATCTCGGTTTTTGATAGAGATAGTAACGGACAGCTTCATGACTTTTTCAGAGAATTTAGATATAACATTGTTGATTATCCCTCTTTTTCTCTCTTATTACTACTTACTAAAGTTTTAATCAGGTTTCTGTATATGTCATAAGTAGACTGTGAAACTTCACGCAATTGCATATTTTTACAGATTATGCATATCGAAAGGAAATGTATATAACTTCACATACCTCCAAAAATAAAACTAAAGTAGCCCATTTTTATTTTGAATAATTGCATATTTCTGAGATTTTTTTTCTATAACTGCACATTTTTATTTATACAGCATTCTCAAGTGCATATATCCCAGGTATTTGTGTAGAAGTGGGTCGATAAAAGATATTTTCATGTATTTCTCCTCTGAAAAGAAAGTGAATTAAGCCATGCCAATGCTAGAATACCAACATAATATTTCCGACAGTCTTCTGATTCGATTGTTTTCGCAGGAATTGATTTACTTACTGAACTTTTATTCGTGTGCATGAACTTAGTGAAGTGCGCTGATATATTACAGCATCTTGTAACAATGTTATTGGTTCTCTTGCTTAATATTTTTTTGTTTATTATGTTTGAAAATATTATTAATACATTTTTTCAAAAATGGTTCTACGTTAAAAAAAAAAAAAAAAAAAAAAAAAAAAAAAAAAAAAATTAAAAACAATATTTTTTTCTTTAACTACCCCAAATTTTCCTTAAACTTTTTTGCATGGTCAATCATAAACATAAATTTGATAATTATAGGGGGTAAAATTGTATTAGAGATTGTGTGAGCTAGTTTGAAAGAGAACTCCCAATATCAGAGTCTCAGTCAGTATAAACAATCTTCACATTAACACAAGACTTCCTGTAATCTATAAAATTCAGGAATAAATTGTAGGTAGTAATCAACAAAAAGTAATGCCTTGGAAATCCTTCAGTAAATAAGTATCAGTGCAATTTTAAGTTTTTATTTCAAATACATTATTTTACAATGAGTCATATTTTATTGTTTTCCAACAAAAAAGCATGACATGACTCAATATCAGTCAATCCTTCTCCAATAAATAGACAATTATTATTATTATTATTATTATTCAGCAAAAGACAATTTTGTAAACAGAATATACAAAAATATTTCTCCATTCAATAGGCTTGTTCAGCAAAATTCTGGACTGCATGTGCATGTCATGACTGAAAAGAAATACTACATATATCCCTCCCCCCTTAAAAAAAAAAGACACTAAGAAAAATGCAATGAATAAAAGCATAGTGCTGCAATTTCTGGAATTGCTATTAAAATAGTGACATTCCAGTTTTACAAAGTACAAAAAGTCTGTTATTATCTTTCATTACAACAGTGTATTTTCATAGAATTCTACATCTTATTTTCCAAGACCATTAACAGTGCCACTGTGGAGGGTGAAATAATGTAGGAATTTGTTTAATTGTTCATTTAGCTATTTTAAAACATTTCAACACTGAAGATACTATACAATTGACTTCAGACATTCATTTTTAAATAGAATGAATTTTACATTCACTTGTAAGATAAATTAACTGATAAACAAAGTAAAGAAAATTGCAAATATTTGCTAACATGGACAACATCACTGAAATCTGTAGTTAATTTAAGAAAATCTTCACTGAAGAAAGGAAAAACATAGAAAATATTCAAGCTCATAAAAAAGTAAAATTCATGAATTATGGAAAAGGATCAAATATGAATGTATATAACACTTTAAAAAAATCATTTTAAACAGGAGAGCATTAAAAAAAATCAGGTTTTAAAACAAAACATCACATCAATGATGGAATTGGGTAATGTTCATGAAATCATTTCAAATCATCATTTTAGGAGGCTGCAATACGAAAAAAGCACCATATTGAGATACAGGTGTACAAGCAGCACAACAAGAACTCCCTGCCATCATTTCTTTTTTGCATCTTTCAAACCTGCTCCTGCATTAAATTTAAAAAAAATAATATCTCCATCTTCAACAACATAGTTTCTACCCTGTTGACGATATTTCCCAGCAGCCTGAAACAGTTAACATGCCAAATATTCTATTAAGAAATTATTAGTCACAATTACACAAAGTACTCATCTGTGACTACACATTGTAAAATATAAAAAATAGAAAGAACAACAGAAATACCTTTACTGCCGTTTCAGACCCTTCTTCCTTGAAATCATCATATTTCATCACTTCAGCCATAATGAATCCTTTTTCAAAATCAGTATGAATTTTACCAGCAGCTTGTGGAGCTTTAGTTCCTTTCTGAAACAAAAAGTGCAATATGATATTAATCTATAATGGAACATTCATAACTCTTTCGTAGCTACACCTACTGTGGTATTTGATTTTATTTATTAAGTCAAAGAACAGAGAAAAAAAAATAATAATAAAAAAAAATTAAAAAAAAAAAGTGACACAGTGGCGCGTGGTGAATTTTTTTGTGAAAAATTTCATTAAAAGCAAAAATAAAAAATTGAAACAGAAATCTCTTTTCAATAACTCTAAAAATCCTCTTGATGACGTGTCTACATCCAAATCCCTGTCACCTTTGACAATATTTTCAAAAAGAATTATAAGAGGTTCTCAGTACTCACACACAGTTTGAATTAATCTACGATTGTAATTTATCTAGTGGGAGCCACTTTTGGAAGTCTTTTTTTCACCTCACTGTCTAGTGCACTACAACATTTAGGAGACAGCACGAAAAATGTTGATAAACCAGTTAAAATTTTCAAAATTTTTTACATTTTTTGACTTCGGAAACCAACTGAGATAATACAGATTTAATTTATGAGCAAAATAGTGCAACAGGATATACCTATTTCTCTTTAGCAGCCCATTTAAATGACCAGTCATCACCGGAGCACCATCATAAACTTTGTGCAATAAGTTTAGATTCACATTTTAAATCTTCAACAATCTCTCTTACAATTCTATATAAAGCTTCTGCCATTCTGTCTCAAGAGACATCTTGGAATGCTAGGAATCTGTCTTCAACATTTCCTTCCACATTTTCAGTAACACACTACTTTAGACAATTGTCTTAGATTTCCAACATCTGCCCTCTCATCTAATACAATAGTAATGAAATTACTATTATTTATTTATTACTTAATGTTTTGGAAATAAACATTTACAACTGAAAATATTACGTCATATAGAATCAAATTTGAAGTACCAACAAATACAGATGAATTCTCGAGATGCTGCGCCCAAAGTGGATCATATTTTGCTATTATGTGTATTATATCCGCAAGGAATATTTATTCCTACTCCAATCCCAACATTAGTTGCCTTAAGAATAAATGATAGCAACGAGCGTTGTAGATAAAATCTGATGACATCTGTTGGTTTGACTGCCTGAGAGCTTACTCCAGACAGGCAGACAAAAAGCATAAAAACAATTATATTGGGTTTTTGGTTATTAACTAAATACCATCCATATGGGATAAAAAATGCAGTTATTTTAAACCATAGACAACCCTCCCATTTCACGTCATCGATATCGAGAATTCCCCGTCGAACCAGATGAGCGAAGCCGGCCCGGGATTTCCTTGGACGTATCGTTGAACCACAAGCGCCCGGCCGCGAGCAGGGAGCCGCCGGAGGAGGCGAAGCGCAGCAAAACTGGCCGCTTCCTCCCCCAGTGACAGAGTTCTCGGCGCGGCCGGCGCACGCGAAGAGGCCACGATTGGGTAAAAGAGAGCGGGCGGCTCACGGACGGAAAACGCGACGCGGGGCTGGTGCTCGCAAGCACGAGGCAGCGGGCTCCACGAGTGATCGTCAACGGTGTCGGTCATTTGTTTCCTTAGGGTAGTGAATGTTTTATTCTAGGGATGTTTCTCCCCCGATGACGTATATACGTCGGCTAGCGGGGATTTCCCCATCCAGGTGTCTCTCACCAGCAGGGCCCCGCCGCAGCCGGGATACGATCTAAGCTCCCAATGTGTGTGGTAGTGTAGTGCATGGAAGTGTAAGTGACAGTAAGGGAAGATGATAGGATAGGGAAGAGCTGTCCGTGGCCCGCTTGTTAGGCATTCACCTAGGAGTGTTTGGAGAAACCACGAAAAAGTACTGATCCGAGAAACCGGACGCTAGAATTCTCCTGCACTAAACGACAGGACACTGAACCCCATCTCCTCGCAGTCACTCTCTGCGGCTGGGGCTGGCCCTTAGCTATCTCGGCCGGTATTCCTTGAGAGCGCCAGGGGCGAGTGTGGAGTCTTTCTAGACAGCACGTGCGCAGTACAGTTGACCATTAATACGAGTTGTGAATCTCGGGGGTCTAACATTTACTAGATATGTTTACTAGGCATACATCTGACAATCACAAAATATAATACACTTTTCGTATTATGATTCTATTATTTCCCGTAGTCATCCAATCGTCATTTACGATATTTTTACTGTTCTTCTTAAATAATCCAATCATAATTCAAAAACGGTATTATACTTTTGGATTATTAGACACCCCTGGTTCACTACTCGTATAAACCGCGTATAAATTATCGTCTTAATTCAAAATTTCAATAGCTTCATTCTTTCTTCGGGCTTGATTCTACACTTTCTAGACACTACGAGGGTGGTATGGAAGAAAGTGAAAATTGTAGTGGCTGTTCACTACGTAATCTCCTTAATACAACTTCAATACGATACATATTACACAGCCTTCCACATCATAGGCAGCGTTTGTTGACGGTTTTGGAGAGCTACTTCGAAGGATTCAAATGTGGAGGTCGGAGGTATTCTGTGTAATATTCACCAAAATTTTTTACATTCTTGGTAAGAAAAGAACCGTTGAATACCGCTGTATGTATAACTGAATTGCTTTTCCCTCTCAGGGGCCAGTTTCAAAGCAGCTGTACGCATAGCCCCGCTTGACATTCCATCCACTACCCACCGGCAAAGGTGTCCCAGGCCATCTACTGATGTCCCTGCAGTGCCTCTGACCGGGCGGTCTCACGGTTCGAGTCCGGATGGGGGCAGGAGTTTCGACACCAGCTAGACAACCGGGTCGAATTCAGACGCTTTCTGGGGGAGAAACCTAGCGGACGGCTGCTCTGATCGGTAGTTTTCCGTATTTTCTCCGACCTGCGCCAGGCGAATGCCGGAGTAGTACCTTAACAAACAGGCGACTGACGGCGCGCGATCTTATTTTCCTCTTGCTTACACATACACACACTACCTCTCTAGTACCTGCACACCCGGGCACCTGCGGTGAAAGGCGTACAGTCTGACTTCCATGCCGTTCACCGCCTCCTATATTGTAACTATTTTATTGCAGTATTCGTGAAAACTACTTTTGTAAAATATTTTATTTATTGCAGTTTTAAACAAGAGTAAGGACTATATAATTCAGGAGTGTAGTATATATATCTTTATCCGATACCCCATATGGGTGTTTATTTTATCTTTTGCCGAAGATGACGCGCCGCTTGCCTCAGCGATCGAGCCCTCGTTTCCCCGGGAACTTGTCAACAACTTGCCCCGTTCATCCGGCGTGTTCGTCGTTCGCGGCGACACCAGTGTCCCGAGGGGGTTAAACTGTTCATCATGTAATTTTCTTTGCAGCAGAGAACATTTATTTATGACACTTTCGTTCGACTTATGTCTGCCAGTAAGTACCGCAAGAGGATTGTTAAGAAATTTCCCCGCGTGAATATTCCACATCGGTCGACAATTTTGATGCTTGTAAAGAAACTTCGCACCCATGGAATTTTAATAGACAAAAAAAGTGCCGAAAGCGCCATTTCCTTACAGAAGAGAAGTTGAAAAAAACCTCTGCCAAGTTACAACAATCTCCAAGTAGATCTTTGAGGCGTCTATTATTACTTTCAACAGGATTCGGCAACTGCGGCAGCACATTCTGCAATTGCTGCTGTTCGATCCATGAAATTTTTAAATAATGTTTATAATGACCGAATAATTAGTCGTGAGTTATGGTTTTCTAGATCATCTGATCTGACTCCTTGTGACTTTTTTCCCTTTCGGGGTACTTAAAAGATCTGATGTGTGCTGAAACCCCGCATTCAGGGGAAGAGCTCCGGGGCTGTATTGAAGAAACAATCGCATCAATTCCTCGAGACTTACAAAGGATAAATCAGAACATGTTGAACACGAAATTGGAGTATGTGCGAGTCCAAAGGATCTGTAAAGGAATTTCATTATCTTTCTTGGATGAATTAGAAAAGACCTTTCAACCTTCATAATTGTGGAGTACGTATTCCACGACAAGGAATATTTCGAAAATAAATGAAATAATAGAAAATACACATTTCGAAGCAAATGCATATCATTAACTAATTCAATTTTTAAAGAAAATATTACACAATGCAGTTACACTAGACATGCGAGCGTCAAATTCATTCGTCGACAACGTAATGATTTTAGGCAATGAGGAGTACATTTTTACGGTTCCATAAATGTTAATCTTTACTTTCTAAAGGGTAGTTAATTTTGAATTCAAAGAAAATAAATTATTTTGATTATAGTTAAAATTCTTTGGCAAACACTTACGTGTACGTGCTTACATTGAAAACACGTATACATTCGTGAGTTGTGGGGAGAGGTAAAAGTCAACTAGCAAGAAATACGACTTGTTAGTTGCTCAATGGCAACATAGCATATAAGTAAAGATTAAATAACTCCGGATGCAATACTTGGCACAATTTTGACCGCCTGGATCCGGGCTCTCCCTGCGCCTCCCTCGAGGCCGACGGGCAGATGGGGCCCCTCATTACCGCCTATTGACGTATGTAGTGCGCAATTTGAGGTCCATACACCTACCGCCTGGCCCGCACGACTTACCCATTACAGATGCAAATGGCGGCGGCGGTAGCGACGGCGACGACAAGTACTATTACTGTTCCGAGAGAGAGAGAGAGGATTTTTTTGTACAAAAATGGAGAACTTTATGGAGGGGAAAGAAGGGAGGCAGGGAGTGCTGTTAGGAGATTGGGGGAGGGGTAAAGAGAGTTACGCACAAAGGGTCAAAACTGACGAGTTGTGAATAATAAAAAGATATAAATATATTTAAATAAAATCTTACTGGGTTAACGAACGGTTATGGCGACACTACCGTAGCTAATTAAAGGGTCCGAGATTCGTGACCAGTTCTCGATGAGGCCGTTTGAGTAAACGCACATGAAATAACGAGGATTAAACTAAAAATCATTTACTAAAGAACCAAATACTAATAACATCTGTCAAAATATGTTTACCAATACAGCGATGAGAGCTTAAAGAATTGGTATTATGGACATTAGAAGACGAGAAAACCAATTTCTCAGGAATCGAATGGTAATGTTAAAATTGCAAAATTGAAATATATTTTTAGGTCATGAGAATGGCCAGGTTAATGCAGCAACCACTACAAGACAAATTAGTAATTATTCAAAGAAACTTTTAAAGAGGGCCTATCACGTTAAAGGTTGATACTATTTTTGTTCATGAAAGTAGGGGAATTTATTCAGAAAAGCTCCAGACCACCACGTCTTCATTTTCAATTCAATTTCAAATGTTTGCTTATTGTTTGCAATTATTTCAGAGTATTCCTTGTTGAAAGTCAATGAAGATGTTTGTACAAAATATTGAGCAGTCGTAAAATATTGTTAAAAATAATGAAATATTCGTTTGAAGCCCTCCTGAAGATTACTGACGGTACTACAATACAATTCAATTCACTTTATAAGGCAACGAGTTGATCCCGATTGAGAGAAAAAAAATGTATTTGGAAAGATGTCGGATTAAGGAAATTGTTGCAGTCGAAAACTAGCTCGCCAGGCAACGTGTTTTGAAATCAAAAGAGAAAAACTCGTTTTCTGTAACGTACCCCGCATAAATCTAAAAATGTCGAAATCGAAGTTCCGAACGATAACGATTCTCTCTCCATCAGTGATTTCAGAGGCGAAGCTCTCTGCGCTCCTTGCGGAGCATTTTGAGGCTCTTGGGCTCCTTCCGGCCCACCGCGGGGCCTGGGCGCGGGGCCTGGGCGCGGGCCCTGGGCCGGCGCGCGCATTTTATGTGGCCGCGTCGCTTCTGTGTCGGCGGCAGCCACCTCTTGCGCATTGAAATGAGGGCGGATTACTGGCGACCCGCTGCTCCGGAAAATTACAGCCTGCCCGCCCCCGCCGTAGCCACCGCCAATTCCTCTGCGGGGGGCGCATTCACTGAAATATTTCGGACCCAGGGAGACTTCTCGAACGGAATGGACGGCGTACTTGAAAGGCTTAATAATTAATCCTACTTCATCCCGTTCAATTTTATTGGTGCATGTAGTGAAATGCACAATAAGCTGAATGAAACTGAACACTTATTTAACAACGATAAATTTCTTGATTATTTTGCACAGGTTTTTGGAGCGGAGACAGATTCTTACACGTCCATCTTGCAATTCTGGCCAAACAATTTTACATTCATCCGCCATCACGAGACACTTCCAACACCACGGCTACCATTACCTCGCCCCCAGATGGAGGCCGATCAGGGTCGATCTAAGGCCGGATAGGGGCGGGCAGGGCAGGGCGGGGTGATGCAGGAGC